ACCCTAGAAAAGTAATATTTGATGCACATCAATCTGTTAAGGGTTAAATATAATTTCAAAATCCCAGAATTAGACAATCCAGAAAATTCATCTCAAAGTCAGACTGTGTAATGCTCAGAGAAACTGCAACAAACTCAAGAGCTCCATCTGAGACTCTAGGTCTCAGTTATCTGGTTTAATGTTCAAAATAATGCATACAAGACGTCCTGAGGATTACACGATGATTAGTATTCACACAACAGAAAGTTGCCCTCTAGGGTTTGTTACAACATAATGTTGAGGATGACACACATCTGGTGTCATGTTGGAAAATGCAGAATGAAATTTTACATTTTATGCAAAAAAAAAAAAAAATAATCTTTTCATCAACGAGTCATGATAAAACATTAACTTATGAATGCATCATGCAATATGCTCAACAATTTGGTTTCAATACAAAACTGTGGGATAAAGCAAATCTTAATATTGTACTAATCTTCACAAGTTTTTTTTTATTTTTTTGTTTAGGGGGTTACTGTGGTACAGTTTCTATCAGCTTTGAGTCTGAAGCTGTGCAGCTGCAGTCCCAGCCTACAACCACAGGGTGTCATCTGTCCTGAGGAGTTTAAAGCTGAGCATGTTTTACTGGACTGGGATTGTTCTACTGTATTTCACTCATTGACTGTAACAAATCAACACCTTTTCCAGCGTTGAATATTAAGCAACAGTTTAAAATCTAATCCAAACAACATTTTATCTCATGTCTGGATAATTTCTTTTTTTTTTTTGCTTTCTTACCTTGCTATCTATTTCTGACTGCTCTTTAACTGAAAGGTGTTTTCACTTTTATAATCATCTCACAAAGCTTATATTAATATGTTAACATCTTGCCCCAGATATTTAGAGAAGATTACTGTCCAAGTCAAAACAAAACTTCCAGTTTCCAAATGATGTCCTGGTGCAAGAAAACAGCCAACATGAAGAATCCCTGTCTTAGTTCTGAACCAAACAAAGACTTTGTTTTTAGCAGTACAAAGCAGATTGTTTAGAGCACGGTTAAGTGTTAACATGTTGGTTTCACTGAAACCTTTCAGTGTGCAGAGCCCCCTTTGGCTCCCCACCACCACACATTCATTTGTGGAGTTATGACCCTGGGGAGAGAGGGGCCCTCACCTTCAACTGACCAGAGAAGCTAAAAACAAGGAGGAAAAACACCTCAGCAGAACCACTCTGCTCCCTTCAAGACATAAAGCAAAACAGAACAGGAAAAGTTAAATCTCTCCTCCCAGCGAGGGACCCTTAACCCTGTGTACCCGTCCGATTCTCCACAGAGGCGAGACTCAACATCCGTGGAAAAATCACACATGGAAGGAATGCAGATCCAAAGACTTCTTGCTCCTGCTCAGGGGTACACGTTTGAGCAAGTTATATTTCACTCAGGCAGGTACCCCTTTCAGCTCCACATAAATTGTTTCTGGGCTCAATGTGTTCCAGATGAGCAGTGAAGTCAGGTGACAAGCAAGACGAGCAGGTTCTTTAATAACGCTGAGCTCTTTCTTTATGTCTGAAATTTAGACATCACATGATTTTGTCGAAGCTCGTCAGCTAGTTATAAATATTTCACTTCTTAAATAAAATGAAAACAATAGATTTTCTAGGAAAAAAAATGATACTGTGTGCTTAATAACTTTGATCAAATTCGAAAAATAAACAATTCTAACTGAACGGGCAAGTTAAAACAAGCGGAGCAAAAACGGAAAACTTGCTGAGCTGTTGCCAAAAACTTCAATTAACATCATATCTAAAAGCCTGAAGTGTCAAAACCCCAAACTAAACGTTGAAATTAGTGAAACTGTAGCTAAGAGAAAAACTAAAACTATGATAAATGCTTAAATTAAAGGGAATCAACAAATAACTGTAGCAAAATCGTAGCTGAAGGTAAAGTAGCATAAAAAGACCAAAATAGAGCAGATTTGTTGAAGTGTAGTTCAGACGCTGTTTTTTTTTTGTTTTTGAAAGAATTAAAGAGATCTGCTGCTTGTAATTACTGTATTTTTCGGACTATAAGGCACAATTAAAATCCTTTAATTTACTCAAAAATCAACAGTGAGCCTTAATATCTGATGCTCCTTATGTTTTAATTCTGGTTGGGCTTACTGACCTCGCACTGATTTTATGTGGTTATTGTGAATGAGTTGAATAAAGTTTGACTTATCTGACTGTTTTGTTTTGCTTAATGCACCTTATAATCCGGTGCGCCTTATAGGCCGAAAAATATGGTACTTGACTTTTTGCTTTATTCACCACATCACAAAAAAAAAAAAAAAAAAACTTTTAAAAATCATGCTCACACTTGGTCAATCCAGTCAAAAGCCACAAAAATGTAACATGTGCTTGAAACGAATCCTCACATGGGCAGTAAAGCCACATGATTTGCATAAAAAAAAACATGTTTCTAAAAATAATCTGAATAAATAAACTGATAAAATGAATAAACCAGCCAATGAAGGCTGATTCTGATTTACGTGACTCAATGGCGTTCAGGTTTGGAATCAGGGGGCCCACAAGGAAAATCACGAGTACCGTATTTTCGGACTATAAGGCACTTAAAATCATTTCATTTACTCAAAAATCAACAGTGAGCCTTATAATCCTGTGTGCCTTATGTAGTAATTTTGGTTGTGCTTAATGACCTCGAACTGATTTTATGTGCTACACGGTGCTCAAAAATCTGTCAACATTTTTTAGTTTTGCTTAGGGATGCACAATATTGGATTTTTGGCCGATATCCAATATGTAAAAACTTATTTGGCTGAGAACCGATACCAATATCGTTAGACCTAATTACAGAGACTACACAGCTTTCTCTGCTGTGGAATTAAAATACTGCATTGTTCTATGTGGTCTTTGTCAATTTGACCAAATGCAGATGTCAAAAAGGGGCTGAAAATGATGTAACTCTTCAACTTGGATTATGTTTAATGTCAAATTTATTCATGCCATTTACTCTCTAACACAATGACAACACTCGAACAGAGTCAATTTGTAAATTTACACAAATCTAAATTCAACGGCGCGTGTGACGTCATAACGTTGTGCTGGCGCTGCAGGCATCCTTGTCACTGGGTTGTCATACAAAAACAGCATCTTATATGTATATATATATATACATATATATATATATATACATATATATATGCCGATCTCCGATATTTAACTTTATCGCTAATATCAGCTGATACCAATGCCATGCCGATAATATAATGCATCCCTAGTTTTGCTTAATGCGTCTTATAGTCTGAACAATATGGTAGTTTCATTTCAGCCTCTTGTGTCTGGCTGTGTGACGAAGTGCTGACAAAGCTGCTCTGGTCATTTAAGCTGTGGTGCACCGTGCTGTTCATCATGACACCCTCCAAACTGGCTGCAGAGCTCCGATTTATGAACTGTGGGAACAGAGAAAAAGATTTTCTTCTTGTGGTCAGTTTCACAGCGATGACAAATCTGAAATATTAGAGGGCATGTATTAAGGACTGACAGCTGAATTCTAAGATTTTAATGTAAAACGAACACTGAGCATCCTCACTAACAGATTGCTTGTTTAAAGGAACTTCCAGGTGCTGCTGCTCGACGGACTCGTAACACATCTAAGTTTTATCAGCTCTAGGATCTGGTTTCCTGACTACGCCGAGTCCTGCACACTGCCTTCTGTTCACTTTTATTTGTGTCATGTCCAAAGCATTATGGAGGAATTTTCCCTGCAGCCTCGGCAAAGCTGAATGAAATCCCTTTCTAGGAAAAACAAGAAGAGACAGAGAGATCTGATTTACGATTCCCTGGATGTTTTCAGACCGACTGGAAGCTAATAGGAAAAGGTTTTTCAACGTAACTAACAGTCCGGGCAGATATTCCACTTTACAAAGCAACTGGATTCAAGGAATTCTGTTACATCTTGTTTCCTGAAAGACATGATGACGTTGGTGGATATATCACTCAATAATTGGATAAAGCATAATTATCCTTATTTGGAGGCTCAAGGGAACTCTAGGAAGCAAAAAGTGGCAGACAATAAAAACTGTATCAATAAAAGTAGCTTTAAAAGCATTAAATATTTGATTTAAATAACTGCTGTTAACTTGTTCAATAAACTTGGTTGTTTAAATGTCAAACAATTATCTGACGCTCTGTTTTTACCAAACACGTGACAACAGATTCAAAGAATCTCTTAAAAGCTCAAAGTTAATTAAAACAAGAAGCAGTCTTTAGGATAAGGATCATTATATCCGTGAGGTTGAGTTGGATTTAATTGGTCATTTTTAGTTTATTTAATGGTGTTTTTTTTATTATTGGCTTAATACAGTAAAACATGTTCAGCTAAACATGAATTGAAGGTATTAAACAATGCAGCTTAAACATCCACATTTATTTAAATGCAGTTGCTCCTTTTTGGGTAAGAACAAGGCTTTGACCAAAAAAATAGGAAAAACTCCAATTTATAAGAGTTTTTAGGGGATTTTTTTAGGTTTTTGAGAAATGTTTATGGAAGATGGACTCATTTTTCACTAAAACAATATAAACTACAAAACAATAATTCAGCTTTCATTATTTCAGTTTATAATACCGACAGTGTGAATATGTAATTTATGTTTTAAAACATTTATTGAATGGAGACAATGCATCCATCAAAGTGATGTTTGATTTAGTGTCATGGACAGAGATGAGCACCTTCACTCGGATCTTCAGGATAATGGGACATCAGTGTCGGTTCTCTGGACTGGTTCCGTTTAAAAACCGAACTTCACAACTTATACTGAGGAGCAAAGTGATGTGCGTGTCCAGGTCCAGTCTGGCACAAGGTTCCACATTAAAAATGTTGGTTTGAATAACCAAAAAATAATAATAAAAAAGTCCAGAAAATTAACATTTTTTTGTGGATGAGTCCTAATATATAAATCTGTACACGTGAAAGTAAAAAGAAAAGAAAAATAAATACAGTTACAGAAAACATCTAAGAGTTTAGTCTACACATTAATGAGCTGAACTGTTTCCAGACTTCTTCTGTGCTGGTCCAGCCAGTCTCTGAGCTCTGAGATCCGATACCTCTCGGGTCCCCTGCCGCCTTGGTAGACCACCTTCCCCTCCTGCACCACATAAAGTCTGTTAAAATAAGCTCCGTACGCAGCGTTGGAGGGGTTCTCCATGCTGTCGACCACCACCAGGCAGCCGGGCACCTCCAGGTGGATGAGCTGCGCCGCGCTCAGCCGGTCCTGCAGGCACCGGTGTCTGGGGATCTGAACCGGCGCGTCGGTGCTCCTCCAGCCGTCAGAGGGATGCGCCTCCTCTATGTACACCACCACAGAGTCCGCTATGTCTGCGTTCTGCCGCGCCACCCCTTGGAAAGCCTTCAGACGCGCCATGAACGGTGGTCAGGTGCAGCTGCCGAAGTTGAGGATGAGCGGTCTCTTGTCCCTGGCGTAGTCCAGGATCCGGCTGCTCCGCTGGTCCTCCAGCTGGACGACCTCGGTGTCCGGCGCTCCGTGTCCGAGATGAGCCGCTTTCAGAAAGTCCAGCTTCTGTCCATGCCAGATGGCTTTAAGGGACTCGAGGCTAAAGAGGCGGTTGGAGTCCGATACGCAGAGAGGAGGATCCATCTCATCAACCTGCTCCCTCATTCTGAGGAAAACCCTTTTCCTGATGCACAAGAAGTCCATCAGCCAGAAGACAACAGCTGCCACCAGGAAGCGGGGCAGCAGGACTACACACACCACTGCATTTTTAATGGCGTTGAGGATGCTCATCATCATCACCTACTGGAAGCTCTCGCGCCGCCACGATGGGTTGAGTTGAAGTTGGGTTTCTTGCAACTCCCGCCCCTCTTTTTATAACATCGGCACATTTGACTGGTTCACACCCCGCCTCCAGACTGGGGCCGAGGCCTCACATGGTGGGGATTACCTCCTGTCAACTCCGCTGGTGGAGCCACAGGGGTGCGGGGGATGATGCGCCGCAGCGGTGCGTCATCTGTGCGTAAAAATGCCATCAACGTGTTGGTAAAACTTTACCAACACATCTGAACTCAGCATGTGGATGTGCAAAGTTAGATGGGGGTATAGGGCATCATTTCAAGTATTTTTTGTATTTATTTAACCAAAATTAAAAAGATATTTGCGGGGAATACTACTGTATTTAGCCTTTTGGCATTTGCGCATTAACCATCCGTGTTGAGCTGAGACTGACAGCTAAAACACAAAACAAGAATAAAACGCAGGTAGACTGATGATTATTGGAAAATACAGAACTTGTTTTAGTGGAACACAAACGTAACATCCAGGTTTTGAAGGGATTTCTGCATCTGACTGAGTTTTGACAATCATTTTGTTATAATAAAATAGTGAGTACAATGTAAAATGCACGAGATTATATTTGGAGCTATAAAACTAAAGCAAAGTCAATCAAAATTCAGCTGAAATCTCAATAGTGGATTAATCTTTGATAAAATTGAAAAAAAAGGCTTGTTTTCTTAGAATTGCGTGGTTTGATGCCATTTATTTGGTCTTTGATGTCCCTGATTCTGATGTTCAGGTTTAGCATCAGAGAATCTAAACAGACTTAGACATTCTGCCCAACATGCCAACATTCATTTTCTAATATTCTAAACTTAGAAAATATGCCCACATTGTGTTGTATTAACTATAAAAGAAGTGTAAATAGAGCCAAGACAAAAACTAAATGCTAAAGCTACCAGTGATTTCTTAAGGACACCATGTTAACCATACAACGTGTCTCTCACTCCCTGATTGTAACTTACTGACAGGCAGACAGACACAGATCAGGCTTTAAACAGATTATCTGCTAAATCTACAGGTTGGATTTGAAAAATTCTTAAACTGTGAGTGGCATAAACTCTGATGGTCACTTACAGGATTTTTTTAATTTTTCCATCCATCCATCCATCCATCCATCCATCCATCCATC